TACCTTGAGATCACCTCCTGGTTCCAGGGCAGATCCCTCAGCCTGCTGACACAGGTTTTGCATCCTGCTGGTGCAGACTTTCTAGTTTCTACCACTGGCCTCTGGGCCTTCCCAGTGCTGATTCTTAATACAAACTTGCATGAGACATTGTTGTGGGTTCTAGGCCTCCAGCTGGACTCATGGAGGACATTGCCATGGGCTCTAGGTCTTCAGCTGGACTAATGTAGGTTATTGCCATGGGATCCAGGCCCTCAGTTGGATTCTTTGGGTCTTTAGTGTGTGGACAGATTTCCTGTAGTCTTTTGCATTTCATTCTTTGGGTGAATATTATAAAATAATCTTATAAATTATGCGTCCTGTACTAAATCTATTCTCTTATAAGCCCTGGCTATAATGGCCCTGAACAGGTCACTCTCCATTCTTTGACCTCTGTGTCATTATCAGTAAAATGGGGACAGAACTCTCCTCAGAACAATGCATTGGGCCAAGGGAGGAGAGTAGCAGAGTGAGGGAGTGTAGGGTAGAGTGGGATGGCAAAGAAGATGGCCTCATGAATGGAAGGTACAGGTGCAGAAGAGACCTCTGCCCACAAAAGCTTAAGCCTTTTAGCTGTAACCAAGAGCCAGAAATACATTATCTGTCACAAGCCTGGAAGAAGAGTTCAGTGCAACATGATTACTTGTCACCTGCAATGAACTTCAATCGTTCATTTCTTGCTTTCCTATTTTATTTTTTCCTTGAATATCTAGCTCTTGACTGTATGGACTGACCAACTCAAATGGACTTCATGATGCACACTGGACTCCAGCATCAGCTGGAGACAACCTTGACCTGGCTGATGAGTTAGTGGCAGGTCCTGTGCAGGTCCTGGCCATGCTGGGCCCCTTCCCTCAGCAAGTTGGGATGCACAGAGATGTGCATCTTCCTCCTCCCTGCTGGGTTGGACCCTGCATGCCTCCCTAGGCTGGGTTCTGCCTCAACACTTTTTTTTCCTTCAGTCTCAGGAGATTTCAGCACTAACTTCCTTAGCCTAAAATACATTCACCAGGTAATATACCCAGTGTGCCCTGGCTTGGATGGGCTATGTCCAAAGACTCATCTCCAGGACAACGGCACTTGGGCCCTTGGCTTAGTCTGATAACACTAAAGTAGTACAGAGTGGTCAGGGTGCTTGGCAGTCAGGTGTCTACTACTGTACCAAATACCCCAGAACATTGACTTATAAAGGGAAAAGGTTTCTTTTGGCTCACAGTTTTGGAGGTCCCCATGCATGATTAGTTGAACCTGTTGCTTTGGGGCCTGTGCTCAAGCAGCATGTTGTTGTGGGAGCATGTGTTGGCAAATGTCACTCACTTCCTGCCTGGACAGAAGAGGGAAAGAGAAGAGGGGACCACAGGTACCCAGTGACCTAAAGGCCTATCCACTAGGCCCACCACTCCCAGTAGCACCATCCTGATGATTAATCCGGTACCATATTTGTGCCATTTTGGGACCATTTAAGAGCTATACCAGTGGTGGCAAACCCTGGCACCTTTGCCATGTGGGCTGTTTATCACTAAAGCTCTAAAAGGTTTGCCATTACTGATCTATATATTATAGCCAGTATCCAGTGAGGCTGAAGCAGAAGGATTTCAAGTTCAGTCCTAGCCTGGGCAATTTAGGTGTGAGGCTTTGTCTAAAAAGTAAAAAGGACTGGAGATGTGGATCAGGAAAAGGTCCTGAGTTCAATCCTCAGCATAAGAAAAGAACAAAAAAGAAAATAAACAAGCAAACAAACAAAAGCCACAGCAAAGCCTGTTTCCCTCCTTCCTGCCTCACCATCTTTCCATGAGGTCTTTGGCTACTCCAACCTTCTGCAGAGGAGCATCAGTGCTCCCAGCCCCTGACCTGCCCACTCTCTCCAGAAGCCTGCCATCCAATTCACTTATGGTGCACCAATGTAGGTGGATTGTCTTTTCTTTGAGAGACACTAGTAGATACATTCTAACAAGGTTTTAGTTTTAGTTGGAGCAAAATGCACCTAAACTACAATACCGACAACCTTTTAAAGTGTACAGTTCAGCCATCAATGACAGCCACTTTCACAACTTTTTCATCTTAAAAATTGAACCTCTGTTCCCTTTGAAACCTGACTCTCCACTCTCCCCACCAGCACTTAGCAACCCTCATTCTGTTGTCTGTCTCTACAAAACTGCCTACTGCAGCACCTCATAGGAATAGGCCATACAGTATTTGTCACCTTGTGATTAGCTACTTACCCTTCCATAGTGCCCTTATGTTGCAGCATGCATCAGAATTCCCTCCCCTCTGATGGCTGAGTGCTGTCCCAATATGGGCATAGGCGACATTGTACTTTCCACTCCCCCATACCCGGGCACCCCTGGCTGTCATGAGTGATGCTGCTGCGATTATGGGAGTGCCCGGCAGCCCTCTTTGTAGGAGAGCAAAGGGATCTTTTTAAAAACACAAAGTTAGGGGTAAGCCAGATAGCTAGGCAGAGAGCAGCGTGCTGGCGCCACCCCCAGGACAAACTGAGATGGCCATTGAGACTGGGCATGGGGGCGCACGCCTGTAATCCCAGGGCTTGGGAGGCTAAAAACAGGAGGATCACTACGAGTCTGGAGACCCTGAGCTAAATACATTAAAAAAAGAAAAACCCACAATGCTAGCTGATTGTCTCCTTCATTTAAAAAAGTTAGTGGATTCTCAGTGCTCTGAAAATACCAACACACATCTTTATTTGGCTCTTTAGTCCCTTAGTGCCACTTGAAGTCCCTTACTGAGTCAGGAGGTGAATTTAGTGGAACTGGAGTGAGGACGAATGGAAGCGAAAACATCAGTGATCCTCACAGGGAGCCAGGAATTGATGATTTGTGAAGTTTTATTTCCATAAGATACATGTTGGTTAAACCAATAGACGTCTTAGAAGAGGATGTGGCGAGGGTGGCTTCCCCTCACCCAAGCCCTAATCTTTGTCTTCCTGGCTCTCTGTCTCCACTTCCTGCCTCGCTTACACATACAGACTTCTCTAGCCTGGGGTTTTGCACCTGCTGTCACTCCTACCTGGCTTGCCCTTCACACTGCTCTTCCTAAGATGTCTCTTCAGCTTTTTTTTTTTTTTTTTACTAATTTTATTGAGAAAGAAATAGCAATGAGACAGTTTCAAAACAGGTTAGTAGGACAGTTACAATAATTAATATGTTGCATATTGTCGTCTTCGTAGTAATTATTCATTGTACAAGATGCAAACATGATATCCTTTCCAAACACTATTAGTACAAATCTTTCTTGTCATTGAATTAAGAGAAAGTAGCTGTATATCGATCCTAACTATTTTGTGTATACAGATTCAAAATGGTCCTTCATTTATATGCTCTTTTTTGTTTATATGACCTCCTCTGAGAAAATCTCCCTGCTGGCCCACCTCACTCAGTTTCCCTCTGTCATCTTGCTGGTTTTGTTAGGATGTCCATAGGGATAAAGAAGGATCTTTTCTAACCTGGGCTAGTGGTTGATGCTTTGTGGCCCCTTTCTAAAGAGCTGGTGAGAACTCTGATTGCCCAGTCCAAGAACTTAGCATATTTACTACTTCTTTTATCCATTCACTTGGCCCCGTGCTGATGCCCACTGAGATATAAGCTCTAGGAAGTTGGGCCCTCAGCACTGTGCAAGCCCAGAGTAGTACCAGGCATGCCATAGGTGCTCAATAAATTCCTTTTGAATGAATAAGTAGATGAACTGTTTCATCAGCCAGGAGTGAATTCAGAGAATAAGATCCCTAAGATGGTGCATGCTTGGCAGCTCTGAGTGGTTTGAGGGACTCCAGGATACACATGTAAGTAGGGATAGTCCAAGTTCCCTTGGAGACCAGGCCTTCCAAGACTTTTTCTGGTCCTCACCTCCGGGATGCTTGGCCTTGCTTCCACAGTCTCCCCAGTCAGCGCTGACATTTTGCAGGGTTCAACACTCCTTCAACTCCTTCACCTTGACCCTTGCCATTTCCCAAATGTCAGTTCTTAAGGTAGAAGGGGTCCCTTCTGCAGCCTGCAGAAGGCATTATTGCAGCAGTCCTCTTTGCCCATCATAGCTCCTTGTCTGAGAACTCAGATAGCAATGCTTGTTGTGGGAACTGAATGAAGTGATGTGCTCTGCAATTGACCTAGTGCAGTTTGACAGAATAGTAGGTCATCTTTGATTGCAGGAAGAGGTGTGATCCAGGCAGGTGGAGAAGCAGAGATCCTTGTCTCACAGTGGCTTGTCTGCCCACGAACCTGCTGCTGACCTGGTGTGCATTCTGGGTTCTCTTACAATGAGCAAGCAACTCTGGCAAAGATTGTTCAGGAGCCTCAGCCTCGGAGTAGCAGAGATTCTTTCCTTTCTTAAGGTGAGGACAGGACAAAGGTCCCACACACTCTAGGGAAGGTGCCAAGAGGGGAGGGCAGGCAACCAGGCCCTTCCTGGTCTTGACTTGCAGACCTGGGTTAGAACTGAGTATGCCAGATTAAATTTCCACTCTATTACATAGGCTCATGAAAACCACAACAGCCTCAGAAAGTAAATGCTGTGTGTGACTGTGATGTGTCACACATCACAGTGGAAATGTGTCTAAATACATATATAACCTTGAGTGAAAGGGATTTTCTAAACAGAACACCAAAAGCAGAATCCATAACTACTGTATATTTTGTCGCAGTTTGTATAAGCTCATTAGGCAACACCAAAAACACTGGGGGCCACAGATACAATACTCAGGGTATAAGTCCATGCAAGAAGTACACACCCCATAGTAGGAGAAAGATCCAGACCCATAGCAAGTAGAGGGAAGACACAGGTACTTGGCAGAAGAAACGCAAACTACCAGTCAAATGCAAATAAATGTAAGGAAAACCCTTGGACTTCACTAATTATCAAAGGGATATAAGTTAAACAATGACTTCTTTTTAACTTATTACATTGGCAAAAATTGATCAAAAGTGTCACTTTATATAGATTATGTACTTATAAAATGTGTTTATTGTCCTAGTGCTAACAGAAACATGGGAAACAAACACTATGACTCCTGGATGGCAGCAATCTACATTAAGTAGCTTCTAGAGGGCAACTTGCTCCCAAATACCAGTTGTAATACCCTTTGACTCACAAATTCTGCTTTTCTGATTTCTCTTTATGAAATAGTAGGATAGAGGTTAGGGGTGCAGCTCAGAAGAAGAACACATATTTAGTATGTGCAAAGTCCTGAACTCCATCTCCATCACTGCAAATTTAAAAAATAAGAGAAGTACAAGGTCAGAGAGAATGGGGAACATTTAAATCTTTTAAACAATTTATTACAGCAAAAAACACTTAATTGTCATTAAGTTGTTTCAAAGTATTTTCCCATGCTTTGAATATACATATCCTATGATTTGTACCACTTTCTAATGCAGTTCTGAAAGTCCTTTTTGTGAGTGTCTTTGGTTGCGTTGTCATGGCTGCTTCAACGTGCTGAGCTGAAGGGAAAGAGGCAGAACCAGTGAGCACAGTAGACAAGGATACAACACAGGGATGTGTTTAAGAGCCCCCTTTTCCATCGTGTGGAACTCAGCAGCAGCCCTCACTGCATTTTGGATCACATTTTGTGAAGACCTTCACAAAAGGAGAACATCCCCAACAGCAACAGAGAGTAGGAAGAATGATGGGGTGGGCGCGTTCAAAGTGAGGGGGGTATTTTCAGGGAGATTACGGCAATGTGTCTTTTACTATAATGAGTTTTAAAATCATTAAACATTCATCATGTTGAATCATACCTCATATATAATATGCTTTTATTTTAGTACAAGAGCAAGAAAGTGGTAACAATGTGATTATCAATGATTTTTCTTTTATTGTCTGATTTCTGACATTTTAGGTAACAATATTTTTATACTCATAAAGAAGTCATTTCAAAATAACATACTAAATTGCACAATTAAACAAACAATAAACCCACATTTTACTTTTGGCCATAAAAGGAATACATGCTCACTATAGAAAGTCTGGAAAAGATAAATATCTAAAACTAAAATGAGATATCTCAGTATTCAATATAAATTTTTAAAAAGATTCACTGTATTTCTGTATATATTTCTAACTTTTTATATTAATTTTAATGAGAAAGAAATGGTAATGAGACAGTTTCAAAATCGATTAGTAGGACAGTTTCAATAATTAATACATTGCATATTGTTGTCTTCATAGTAGTTATTCAGAGTACAAGATGCAGACATGATATCTTGTCTAAACACTATTAGTACAAATCTTTCTTCTTTTTGAACTAAGAGAAAGTAGCTGTATATCTATCCTAATATATATATATATATATATATATATATATATATATATTCACTACAAAATGGTCCTGCATTTACATCCCCCTTTTTGTTTAGTTTTGTCAGAGATGGGTGTTCCATTGCCATTCAAATATTGTATATGCTTAAATTCAGCAAAATAACCTAATATAGTCCAATATTCCATAATAGTAGTGGGTTATCAGCAGTACTAGCAATGTCAGAAGTTGTTGAGCAGTACTAGCAATGTCAGAAGTTGTTGGTTTGAGCCTTTTACAGCTCAGCATATTAACATGGCTTTACTTTTTATACCTCATGATTATATCTAGCTGCTTATTAATGTGTGTTTTTCTTCAATCCTATACAGAGTTTTATGTCCTATTTTTTAAATTTTAACTTTTATCAAGCAGTTTTTTAAATACTTGATTTAATTGACAAATGAGAGTTCATTACATGGATGGGGCACAGTTATGATTGTCTCTCTCACTCTCTCGCTCTTGCTCTCACTTTTGCTCTCTCTCTCTCTCTCTCTCTCTCTCTCTCTCTCTCTCTCTCTCTCTCTCTCTCTCTCTCTCTTTGGCAGTACTAGGAATTGAACCCAGGGATACATCCCCAGCCCTTCTTTTTACTTTTCATTTAAGGGTCTCACTAAGTTGCTAAATTGTTCAGGCTAGACTAGAATTTAAAATCCGCAGCCCTCAGCCTCACAGTGCTAGGATTATAGGCATGCAACTACCATAATAGCTTCAGGGTTTTTTTTATTAGACATTAATCAATTCCAATTTTTTCTCAAACTAACACTTCCATTAACACTGGAAGAACAAACTTGTACATGAATTTGATCATTTACTTGAATTGGTTTCATAGATGTAGACTTACTGGCTCAAAAGGCATATATATAGTGCAGGATTGCTTGCTGGAAATGTACCAGCTTAACTTCTTTCCAATAATATTGTAACTTTAAAGTATGCCTGTCAATTAGATGAAAAGGTTATCTTATTTTAATCTGTGTATCTTTGACTAGTAGGTTGAAATTTTCCCAGTACAAGGAAAATTCCCAGTGTAAGCATGTCCATTTACATAGTCTGTCTTATTCTCCTTGAGCTGGTGCCTCTCCTTATTTCCTTTGAAGTGACTAGGAATTCCTCCATAAATCTGAAAAATAGATAGCATGAGGCTGGGTGGGGTGCCACCTCACTCCAAGTCTCTCCCTCTAAGGGAAGCTGTCCAGGTGCATGGTGGACAGTGGTTCCACCTTTGGTTCTTGGTAGGCTGCTGGAGTCCAGTGACAGCTAATGATCTCCATCTGCTCAAAGGACAGGCACCTTAGGGAAAAGGAAGGGAACTTCAAACTTCAGGTTGGCTTGAATAACATGTATTAAATGTCAAGGACTTTAACCAAGCAGGAGTGACTCATTAACTCCCAGTCACCCATCAATGCCTGCCAGCCAGATTCAGCTAGGGAGGGCAGGCTGGTGCCAGGGTGGTGGTTTGAATCTGTCTTCACTTCTGAATGTGAATGTAATTCCTCTTCAATGCACGTTGAAGCCTTGACTGTGGAATTCTTCTCAAATAATTTCCACCTGTCGTTTTTCTTTGGGTCCTCAGGCATGTCCACCCTGCTATTTGTCTTTTGGTTGTGTTTGCATGAATACTATGAAGTATCATATTTCTAAGAAGACTTTTCCTTCTGTTCTCTGAGGACCCCTCTTTAATAGTGGTTGGTTCCTGTTTTATAGAGTCATTAAGCCTATGGCCATAACAATAGCACTTACCCCATGGGAGAATTATGTGACTTAATGGAAATGGAATTTGTCAAGCACTTAAAACAGTGCCTAGCATACTCTCAAGCTTTGTGCCTGGTATACAATGAGAGCTCAGTCAAGTTACCTGTTGTACTAGCTGGGGAGCCATTGAAACTTTTCCAAGACAATCTGGAAGTTCAGGGGTTGTGTCTATGGCCTCTGGCATGCTGCCTGCTTCCTGCCTCACATAACAACCCAGAAGCCTGAATCCCTCTGGCTTTCCCCAAGGCAGTAGATATGGAACATTTCCACATTACAGAAAGTTCTTCTGGACAGTACTGCTCTAAAATTCTAGCAATGCTTCAGGGATTGCTGAGATGACTAAAAAACAGCCCTGACCCCAAAGAAGGCATCTGTTGACTTATCGTGTGCAGATCCTCCTTCACTGATGTTGGGATTACGTCCCAATAAAGCCATTACAATGTGACAACATCAAAGTTTAAAATCTATTTAATACATTTAACCCCTAGAACATCCGAGCTTAGCAGCACACTGCACTGTAGGCTAAACATCGCTACCATTGTGATCATGTCCTCTCCCTGCCCAGTTGGATGAGAAGTGACTGCATATTGTTAACCTGGGAAGAAACCAAACTTCAAAGTGCAGTTTTTGCAGAATGCCTATCACTTTGGTGCCATAGCAAAGTTTAAAAAATTGTATGCCAAACCATTATAAGGCAGGGGCTATTAGTATTAATGAAGGCCTTTCAGATGTCAAGAGGATATTGTGACAAACAGGATGGGAACATTCCTTGTTTTCATAGACTTTCTTGCCCTTTTGCAATAAATATTCAAAATATTATTGGCTTAAATAAGCTAGACTTATGATTTCCTCTGTCCTGACAGCCCACTCTGCTGACATGGTCCTGTGTCCTGAAGCTGTCTGGATCTGTATTGCTTCTCCCTATGGCTCCCCACTCTTCAGAGTGTTAGCCTCGTCTTGTAGCATCATCTCTGCCCTTAAAGGTTTACTGAGACATTGAAGATTCATCCCCACAACCACACTGGAGTTAGCACTGAGGAGGGAAGACATGTTAAGGGCCCAGACTGCCCATGTAGGAGCTTAGTGTGGGGCAGCAACAGTTGGGCAAACTCCACCATGCCTGGCCCTTAGCTGGGCGACCCCAGGAGAAGCATACCCTAGACCTGGAAGTGTGGCAGCTGGAGGCCCTTAGAGAGCAATACATCTCACAGCATCACTTGGTGGGGATCTGGGCAGAAGGACACCCACAGCCAAAATACCACAGGGATTGTCCCAATTTTACAGACAGAGGTGGTAGAACAGAAGGGATATGACCGGCCAGGTTGTACACAAACAAAAAGTATTAGGATCTGGGTTTAAATTCAGGTAGTCCTAGTGCTTGGGGCAATCCAAGGCAAAGTGGCCTCCTTGGGATGGGACAATGGGAGTGGTTGGACCGTTAGCAAGGCTCATGCCCAGTCATGCCTGAATGGCAGGATAAGTTAGATTGTGGTAGCCATGGATAGCTCCTGGCTAGGACGATCCCTCTGGATGGCAATGCACATTCCACTGGGCAAGAATAAAGGTGGTAGAGCTGGTGGGGTGGGTGGCATGGGCTTCCACTAGTGCACCAGCCCTGAGATCAATGAGCTGAAATCACTGAACATGACTCTGGGTGAATACGCACTGGGAGTGCTGCTGACCTGAGGTGCCCAGCTGTTATGGATTGACTTACATTCTCCAAAATCCATAGGCTAAAGTCCTAATGCCCAGTGCCTCCAAATTTAGCTTTATTTGAAGAGAGGGACCTTAATGAGATAAGTTACAATGAAGTCATTGGGAGTAGTTCCTCATCCAATCTGATGGGTGTCTTTTTTAATTAAAAAACTATTTTTATGTATTTGTTTACTTGGTACAGGGTCTCGCTACACAGCTCGAACTCATAGTGATCCTCCTATCTCAGCCTCCCCAGTGGTGGGATTACAGGCCTGAGCCACCACACCCAGTTTTGGTGGCTGTCCCAGAAAGGCATGCAGTACCAGGGATCAAACCTGGGTCCTTGTGCTTGCTAGGTAGGTGCTTAGATTGCCAAGCTATCTCCCCAGTCATGATGGGTCTTTATAAGAAGAAATGAAAAGACAGATACACAGGGGCTACCAATGTGAGGATACAGAGAAAAGAGAGCATCCACAGACCTAAAAGAAGGGACAGAAACCACTGCTCTGGTGATTGAAGGAGACAAGGTAAATAAAATAAAACATCCACAATAAATTAGAAGATAATATACAATACCAAGAAGAAAAGGTAAGTAGGATAGGGAGCGAGGAAGTATTAGGAGGTATATTAACATTTTAGATTGAATGACTGATTCAGGGTTCCCTAAAAGCTAGTGCTTGAATAAAACATGAAGGATGGGAGGGAACCAAGTGAATTATAAGGGAAGAACTTCTCCAGGTGGAAGAAAGCAAATGCAAAGGTCCTGAGGTGAGGCATGGCTTATGTGAAAGAGGACAAGGATGTCACTGTGTTTGAAGTAATGTGAGCAAGGAGAGAAGAAGAGATTGTCACAGATGGAATGGAGGCCAGATCCCGTAGGGCACTAGAGATGACCAGGAAAACTTGGATTTTACTTACTCTGTATGAAGCGGGAGGCATGGGAAGTTTCTGACCGAAGAGAGACATGATCTGATTCGGTTTTTAACAGGATCTTCACTAATTTTCAGTTTTTGAGTAGCACACTTCCTGTGTACTGAAGCTGCTAAGGATACATTTTAATTTCTAAAATGTCTCTGACTTTTTTCCTGCATTCTTCCCCCAGGGGCTAGGGGACATTGGACTAAGAGTATGTGAAGAATGGAGAACCAAAGGCAGGCAGGGCAGATGGAGAAGTGCTTCAGTAACGCCTGACATCGCCCTAGCCAGAGACAAAATGCTGAGTAACTGAACTTTGCAGACTTCTGTTTCTGTTTCTGGCTGTCTATGAAAACAAGGAATGTGCCCATCCTATTTGTCACAATATCCTTTTGCCATCTGAAAGTCTTCATTAATACTAATAGACCCTGCCTTGTAATGGTTTGACTTAGAATTTTTCAAACTTTGCTATGGCACCAAAGTGATAGGCATTCTGCAGAAACTGCTTAAAAAGATGAACACAACCCACTTGTTTTACCCGTACAAGCCAGACCTGCCACAATGCTGCAAGTGGCCATGGCTTCTGCAAGCTAGGAAGCTTATCACCATCCTCAACACGGGTCCCCTCCAAGTCTTCTGCTCAAGTCCTGGGTTGGCTGCTGGTGGCAACTAAAGCTGCATCCCTCGCACTAACCTGAAAAGGTTTCCAGATTGTGGGTCAGTGTAGACCCACTAGCTACAAATTTCTACTCCAGCCACATCATCCGAAGAAGCAGGGGAAGGTGCTCCTCACCTCCCAGTGCCATGGGGAAAAGGGCATCAGTACCACAGAAGAAGCTGTCTGTCCGTGTGCCCTAGAGTGTCTGGAAGATGCTCTGTTGGGCAGACAACTGGCCCTGGCTCATCCCTTTCCTCTTTCTGCCAGCTGTGTGACTGGGGAAGGCATGCGCCCTCTCTCAGCAAGCTGCTTCATCTGTAAAATGCTTAGCTGAGGACCCAACTGGAATGTGGGCAAAAGGGCACAGCAGGGACCTGGCACCCATAGTTCACGTGTTTCCCTGACAGGATCCCTCTTCCGATATCTAAGCTGGCAAAACCGCGTCGGGATTGCTTTGGGTTAGACGAGTGGGTGATGCGCCTTTGTAGGCAAAGAAGCGCCACCGTGTAGTCTTTAGCAAAGTGCCCCAGAGACAGCCAGTGCTCTGAAGTAGGGGGTCAGCGAATCAAACGCAACCCAAAAGGCCCAAAACACTGCGCAGTATACTTTCTGGAAGGTGACTGAGATCTTTAGGCGGAAAAACCATGTACCTTATTTCTCCGACATGCCCCCCTAGTAAAATTTCTAACTTAATCTGGAACTGAACGGGAAAAACAGTGGTTTGTACCAAGCTGAGGGTGGCAGGGGATGGCGCAGACAGATCCAGCCCAGACCCAAAGCGCCGCCCCCAAGTGGACTTAGCTGGAGGACCTTCCCAGGGCTTTTCTGTGTCCTGAGGAAGTCACACGTTCTCACTTGGAGACCAAACTTTAGAAGCGATCCTCGCGGACAGCGAGTCCACGGAGAAAGGCAGGGAGTAGGGAAGTAGATGGCTGCGGGCCGGGCCGGCAGTGGACTCGGCTCGCGTAGATCCGACAGCAGCCGCGTGCACAGCCCCCGCTGTGCCCTCTCCCCAGCGCCCCGGCAAGGCGAAGGCGGGGACAGGGGCGGGGGCGGGGCCCGGACGGGGTGGGGCCGTGACGCGCGGCGCTGGCCAATGAGGCGCGCGCCCGAGGCCGAGCCTCCTGCGAGCCTTCTCGGCGCCCGTGGCGTCACGTGAGCGGCGGCGAGCGAG